AGCTCATAAAATTCATACAAATTATCCGGCTAGAATATAATTTACATTGCTGGAATTCTTACAATTTGATGATCATTTTGAATATAAACATCATAGATTTTGCATTAGACATACAAATTTTAGATATGTTTACTCTGAGTAAATATGTTATCTTTTGTGCAAAATATATGACATTTATATTCAAAATATTCCTGGTCTTACAAGGAATCCAGCAATGTCAATTATATTATCCTAACTTTAGTCTGATTTATTATTTATTACTAAAAAGGTAAACAATCTGGTATTCCCACACATTTATCTAGTAGGGACGGTTGGTGGGGGGTGGGGGGGAGGGAGGGACCGGCGACCGACCACCTGGCATGTGTGAAGAATATTTTTTTTTTTTATTAACCGAAGATTTTTATTTTAGCTCATAAAATTCATACAAATTACCCGGCCAGAATATAATTTACATTGCTGGAATTCTTACAATTTGATGATCATTTTGAATATAAACATCATATATTTTGCATTAGACATAAAATTTTTAGATATAATGTTTACTCTGAGTAAATATGTTATCTTTTGTGCAAAATATATGACATTTATATTCAAAATATTCCTGGTCTTACAAGGAATCCAGCAATGTCAATTATATTATCCTAACTTTAATCTGAGGTATTATTTAATACTAAATGTTAAAATTTAGTTTTTTCACCCAACATCTCTTGAAGGGAGGATTGGTGGGGGGGGGGGGGAGGGTTGGGACGACTGCACGGTTGGAAGAGGGGGGGAGGCATGGTGGGGTACTTTGATTGACAGATAGTGTCGTGAAGAATATTTTTTTTTTATTAACTGAAGATATTTGTTTTAGCTCATAAAATTCATACAAATTACCCGGCAGAGTAATTTGTATGTCTCGTGCAAAATCTATGATGTTTATATTCAAAATGATCACCAAATTGTAAGAATTCCAGCAATGTAAGTTATATTCTGGCCGGGTAATTTGTATGAATTTTATGAGCTAAAACAAATATCTTCAGTTAATAAAAAAAATATTTTTCACCACACTATCTGTCAATCAAAGTACCCCACCATGCCTCCCCCCCTCTTCCAACCGTGCAGTCGTCCCAATCCTCCCTTCAAGAGATGTTGGGTGAAAAAACTAAATTTTAACATTTAGTATAAAATAATACCTCAGATTAAAGTTAGGATAATATAATTGACATTGCTGGATTCCTTGTAAGACCAGGAATATTTTGAATATAAATGTTTTATATTTTGCACAAAAGATAACATATTTACTCAGAGTAAACATTACATCTAAATTTTGTATGTCTAATGCAAAATCTATGTTGTTTATATTCAAAATGATCATCAAATTATAAGAATTCCAGCAATGTAAATTATATTCTGACCGGGTAATTTGTATGAATTTTATGAGCTAAAACAAATATCTTCAGTTAATAAAAAAAAGAAAGATTCTTCACACGTAACAGATGGTCGGTCGGTCCCTCCCTCCACCCCCACCAACCCTCCCTACCAGATGTGTGGGAAAACCAGAATATTTACCTTTTTAGTAATAAATAATACCTCAAACTAAAGTTAGGATAATATAATTGACATTGCTGGATTCCTTGTAAGACCAGGAATATTTTGAATACAAATGTCATATATTTTGCACAAAAAATACCATATTTACTCAGAGTAAACATTATATCTAAAATTTGTATGTCTAATGCAAAATCTATGATGTTTATATTCAAAATGATCATCATATTGTAAGAATTCCAGGAATGTAAATTATATTCTGGCCGGGTAATTTGTATGAATTTTATGAGCTAAAACAGGCAGGCAGGCAGTCAGGCAGGGTGGCAGGTGGGGCGAATCTAAAAATAGCTCTCGAGCCAAACCCGCGTTAAGTAAAAGTTCGGCTCTGGCGAGGCACCGCATATACGTGAAATCGCGCTAAGCGAAACCGTGTTAAGCGGGGTATTACTGTACTGTATATATCAACCAACACACATGTCTACAGTTTGAAAATCGAGCTGGACACTACCCTCTAGCCTCCAGCCAATCAGCACAGTTATGCCTATGATGTCATAATCAGAGGTCACTTTGATTGACTCACGCCTAAGGCACTGTCAGCTTGGTGGGAATACAAGTATCCTACCATTTTTCACCTCTCAAAGCATAGCTAAAACCTGATAATAAATATCACACTCTCAGCCAGCTGATATTCTTCGTTTGTGATTGGTCAATATGTTTTGAAAGCGTTTCTGTTATAAGCTGAATAACCCACAGGTAGACTAACTATCAGTGTTTACATTTGAGTTAAATACCCTATCAACATTACAAAATAGTTTTGAGTAATAGGGGTTTACAATACAGTACAATACAGTGTATTATTAGCAGTTTATAAGTTGATTACCGTAAGTCTGTCATAACATAGCCGATTGTGTAACTTTATGGTCAACCAATTGGAATCTAGAATTCCCCCTAAAAATTTGTTCTGGTGTGTCAGTTAACCATGTGATTCATAGTTCACTTATATTTTTTGGCATCTTTGTCTATACTCCCATATACTATCCCTCACACAAAGATTTATACCTTAACCTCTCTTCAATTGACAGACTCCATGTGGTATGTATTAGACAGCATTATCACAGCGATGGTTAGAAAGCTTCACATTTCTGCCATACACTGTTTTCACTTGTTCTGTCCCAAACTGTCCATAGATGAAAATGTACGAAGAGGGGAAGCCAAGTGACCGTAGGGAATACAGGCACGATAGGCTCATATTTGGGCCGCCACACATTACAATCTGTGGAACACATTTATTAAGTTAATATTTGGCATGGGAAAAAGAAAGATAAACAACTGAACATTTATAATTATACAATATCCAAAGAATCAGTAAACATTTATATGTTTTCTTATACATACTCTACAATTAAGAAGGTTATTAAATATATTATACTTACTCCAGTTTGATCAATTACACAGATAATTCACTTATTTTGTCAATATCAGGTTGACTAAACTTCTTGAAATTGCAACAAAAGCAGAGTTCAAATAAAAAAAAACTTTCTATACCAATTCCAGTTCTATGATCAAAGGTCCCTAAGTTTGAAAAGTATTTGCCTTATCCTAAAGTTTAAGTGATTACAGTATAATGCAAACATTCATGTATGTAAAACTTTGCAGAAACAAAGCCATCTACCAGAAACTTGCCTCAAATTTTTTTTATTCTAATTACCTTGTGCTTTATGCCATTGGGTTTGGAGACATGCTTATCAATCATTTGGGTGTCTATGAAACCCTCTTCTCCCTCCCAGTTCCCAGGTGCTTCACCCAGGGAGTATACGATCTTCAGTCGATCATCTTTTGCTGTTAGAGTACAAAATATTCTATCACACCCATAATGAATTCCTTAAAGTAAGAAAAATAGTGTCTTGGATTCCAATTGCATCCACGAAGAGATGTCAAATTCTAGAGCCAAAAAGAATTTCCTAGCAGTGGCCCTTTAACAGCAACTTACTAAGGGATGAGGAGCAGTAGCCAAGAGGAGCAAACACTCACATCCTGTTCTCCTTGATGGTTCACATCTAGAGTATCCAGTTCTTCCAACTGTAATCAGCTACCAAACTGCAATAATGTATTAACTCTAACCCCCTCACTATGGGGATGCCACTTATAACATTTTATTTGGCTAACAACAGGTAATTTATTTTTAGCAGAGAAGGGCTCCCATACACAAGTGGTGAAGTGAATACTGTATTTAAATCTGACAAACACTGCAGTTCCCATTTTAAATATTCTAAATGTTTAAATTATTCAGCTTAAACTTGAATTTTTTTAACTTGGATCCTTAACCAGTATGAAATTTGAACAAAATCTAAATTGTAAATACTTTTGGTAAAACACAATGTCAGGCTTTCTTTTTTGCCAATTACATGTTTTTTGTGTAAAGCAAACAGTATTGTATATGAATGATGAAACCTGTCTACATTCATGGTAAAACATGAATTAAAACTTACAGGCCTATCATAATTGTGCTTTAAAATGTTTAAATGTGTTGTAATTATTTCAAGGGTCATCATTAAATATTTGAAAATTACATTTTTGAAGATAAACCTTAACCAGCAAGTTGAGGAATGGTGTGGTGTGAAATACTGTATGAGTAAAATCTATGTTTTGACCCCTTGGGAGCAAGTAGGAATAAGCAGTTGTACACGTGCCAAGGCGTAGGGTCACACAAAGTGGGATGCTGGTAGACGCTTCTAGATGCTACCTACGGTGGCAATTTGTTAATGAAAAATTCACTTGGTAATAAATGAAAATGATTTGGTACTAACCCTGAATAAATTCAAAGTTAACATGTGTGATCATAGGGGGTGAACTGCCATGTTTGACCGAATTATTACAGATTTTGTGTAAAGAACTTTATCTACACTTAAGTTATATTGCTTTTCCCTTAATACTTTTTTTTTACAGTACTGTATTGTTGCTAAAAAGTTTGGTATTGAAACATTCAATGTGGTAATGAATCTCGAAAGATCTGATAACAGGAAAGTCCAACTTGACAATCCTACACACCTCAGTCATTGTTCATCCTGCATATGCACCATACATGTTATCACCAACCAGGCTTTACCCTATGGTATTTGTCTCCCAAACATTTTTATAAGTTTATTCACATTCCACCTTCCTCCACAGCTACATTTTCTAACACATAACATACACTAACACTGTGACAAGATTTTTTTCCCCTTTTCATGTTTTTATTCTATTAATGAATGATATCAAACTTAAACACATTTATTATAAAATAACATCAACTAACGATAATATAACAAATTGCAAAGAAAATTTATCAGTAATGTAGGTGCTCTTGAACATACACTTAATTCCCATTGAATAAATTGTTATTATAATGCCATTTTTCTGTAACACGGTGTTTGTCAGGAATGCAACGACCTGTACCACATTATAGGAGAACTGACTGTACAGTATACAGTATTAAAACAGCATATAATCTTGTGAGATTAAGTTTTAGGGTTGAAATTCTTGGGGCTGGAGCACATCTAAGCTTTCAACCATGAAGTTTTGGGTAGAAATTTGTTTGGCTATAACATGTTTTGAATTTTAGCATGGAATCCTCTGGGAAAATGGGCTCTGTTGGATGAAAATTAACCAAAAGAGCACCTTCTCTGAAACACACATTGCTCATTCAACGGGACCTCCCTACATTATTTGAAATAAATTAGGTGTGTTAAAAAACTCGCATGCTCCCACTGAGTGTCATATAACAATGAAAAATGCATGATTCAATCAAGCAGCTTATAAAAAGCTTCAGTGTGGTATTAGTATACAGTCTCTCCTCGACTTACAACCCGGACATATGACGGCCATGGACGTATAAAATTTTTTTCACATTACGTATTTCCCAGTTCAGACACTTGGTCGTAATGTGACACTGTACATTAGCTTGGGCTGGGCCGCCTCATGGTGTACAGCATCCATGTCATAGCCAGTTCACTTAGTGTTTGGCCGTCGTTGTTAGTGATCGCGCTGTGTACTGACAAAATTTTCGTTTGTAATTCACTTTAAAATGGCTGGCAAGCGTAAAAGTGCGAGTTCTCGTGGTGCCAAGAAGAAAAAGAGAATCAATTACTTTCGAGATGTATTATTTTCGCCTTTTCGACTTACGACCTGGTCGTTGGGACGGAACCCCGTCGTAAGTCGAGGAGAGACTGTATATGGATTAATGGAGGGATAGGTTCAAGTCAATATGCCTCCTGAAATATGTAGTGAGGCAGTTAAACAATTTAGGTAAAGGCTACAATGACTTTGCATCTAATACTGCAAATTGAAAGCAAGATTCAATCATATCTTATTTATATTCCTTTATTTACCTGCATACTGGTCGAGTTCTTCGCGATAGAGAATCTCATCATAATTTTCAGAGAAATATACAAGTTTAATCTTGGTTTTATCACTGGGGTTCCTCATGACTTGGCGAATTAGTTGCATGCCTGGGGTAATGCCACCTCCAGATGCTAACAGAGTCAGCTCATCTAATTGGTTTTCTTCATATTCAAATCCTCCACAAGGGCCCTGGAATTCTACCTTGTCACCTGAAAAACAATAAATTAGCTTTATTACTTTATGTGGGATGAGAGATATGTATTCATTCTTCACTCAATGGTTCTCTTCTTCCCAGTGAATTAACCATGAATTCAAATAAGACACCAAATTGTGCTTGATTTTACAAAGTTAAAATGTTATGCAACTGTTCATTCAGCTATGAGAGGGATCCTAAGGAAGTCAGTCTTCAGAAGCCAACAGAAACATCCTAATCTGAGTAGTGCAGACCTGATTAGTGTCCAGATCAGATGCTTACATTTGTTGCTTCAATGACCTTGCCTGACATGAAACAAATTATGTCAAGGCTGAAATTCATCAACATATTTGTTTTTCTTTTTTTAACCCATAAGCCCCAGGTTAGGGTGCTGGTGGCAGTACCACCCCATGCGGGGGCAAATTCAAAAAAATCAACTTTTCCAAAAATAATTTTTAACCTTGTAAAATGATAAAACAATAATAATTAACAAGAACTATATATTGACCCTCTAGAAACTTTCGTGACCGTGCAGAGATAAGGAGACAGTGTTTGGATAGCTGACGCTCGTGGTCCCTATGCACTAAGCAGCTATTTTTAGCTCGCCTTTGTGTCCGAGGTGGCCAATAATGTATGTATTTACTGATCTTAATACTTATTCGCAATAAATAATTTATTTAGAATATTTTATTTGCATAAATTATCATAAAAAAGTGCTTGGCAACACTCACCAGTTGGTCGCCAGTCTGCCTGGCTGTCTTTGTGTTTGGTAGAACAAGTAATGCATAAAATAATAATAATTCAAAAAATAAATACATTTATACACACACACACACAAAGGTGGGCAGTTGCACCACAAAAGGTTGCGGCGCAACTTTTACAAGCATTTTCAAGCGCAAGTGCAATGTGCACATTTTTTTTGGCAATAATTGAAAATTGGAATATGACCGCATAAACAAACGGGCATCCCTAGAGCCGAGCGTTACGAAAATTTCTGTTTCTGACAGAATGATACAGGTCGGGCAGCATATTTCTGAACTGCAAACCAGATGAGACTCGCCCCCCCTCCCCTCCATCGCTCCCTCACTCCCCTTCCCTTGCTGTAGGTGCCAGATTTCATCTTTCACATAAACTCTAGAAACTAGAGTTTATGTGAAAGATGAAATCTGGCAACTACAGCGAGGGAGGAATGATTCATATCATAACCAGTCAGTAGCATTGCAGTTAAGGCGTCAGTTTCTTGTTGTTTTGTTTCTTGTTATTACTAGTATTATGGATCGTTTTGTGACGAGGAGGAAGGAGAAGGAGTCTGTGGCTAGTAGCAGTGATCCTGCTGACCTGGACATGGAAGTTGAAGTGACCGAGACTGTTGACAGCCAGTCCAATGAGGCCAGTGGCAGTGAGGCATGTTTTTGTAAAAAAAAATATTGATCATATTAACTTTTTTGTTTCAATTATATTTTGTTTTACAGTACACTCGCAACTTACGCATATTTTTCTTACGCGGTTTCAACTACAGTGGTCCCTCGGTTAACGAGCACAATCCGTTCCAGCAGGTTGCTCGTTAACCGAAACCATTGTTTCAATGGCTTTTTGGGTAATTGGTTCCAGCTCACCGAAAATTGCCTAAATTCAACAAAAAAGGTAGAAAAGTACACTTACTTTGAGGTGTGTATGTAGAAGGCTCCTGGATGATGATGATGGGAATTAGAATGGGGGTGGAGGAGAAAGAAGAAGAGAAGGCATTGGGGTGGAAGAGAAGTCACCCCATGGCACCATTTCACCCATAAAATTTTAGTTCTCTTGGTGTAATTCAAGATCATTTTCTTTAAATCAACTCTGCATTATATATTGTCAATATGTAAAATGAATTTCAAAATGACCAATAATTTTCTTGGAAACACAGAAAAAAAGCGTTCAGTTGAAGAGTCTCAAGCAAGATGTTACCTCCACTGAAAACAGAGAGAGACTAACGCCTGTCTGGTGTGTTAACAGGCTGGATGGCACGCCAGAAACTAGTTTCTTTACCTTCAATTATGTTAAATAATTGTTAAAATGACTAAAAAAGTTAATATTAAACTTTTAAAATTATTGAATAGTACAAACTTCTTGATATTTACTAAAATAGTAAGGAATTTAAGCCCTAGAACCGATTACTGTATTGGCGGATTAATACTACAGCTGGTGGACCGCCAAATACAAGCGAAAACATGTGGAGGGGCGCTCGTTAAAAACTCTTGAATCGAGGAATTGCTCGTTAACCGAAGTTAAGAACCTTATGGAAGGTAAATCATAACCCGAAATCTCGTTAACCGAGGCGCTCGTTAACCGAGGGATCACTGTACTGTATACACAGATTACCTTGGGGGTTAGATAACAATTTCCAATTTCTAAATAAATTTTTTATATCTAGTGCAAATTATAGCACATTCAAATTAATCACTACCTTATAAGAATCCCAGCAATGTAAATTATATTCTCCCAGATCAGTTCAGTGACATTTACAAGCAAAAAACAAAAACTCAATCTAAAGGACATAAATATATAAATAAAAAAAAAAAAAAATACTTCACTAGACCTCCCGGCGCCAGCTGACAAACACATCACCTCCCTCCCCTCCCACTCCCTCCACCCCCATCCTCTCAGCCAGGGTTTGGTGGTTTTAGGCTTAAAGTTTTTATCTTATAAAATATCAGACTAAAGTTAGAATATTATTTGCATTGCTAGAATCCTTGCAAGACAGCAAATAATTTGAATCTAGACCATATATTTTGCACAAGAGATATAAATTTGAGTACATTATACAGTCGGCCCTTAACATACGCAGGGGTTACGTAACAGAGATACCCGTGGATGTTAAAAATCCGCGTATTTTTGCTACGATACCGTATTTTCATTAAAATATTACATCACAAGTATATTTTACCTTAACTGTGACTGAATGAATATATTCTCGGAAATAAATATGGAAATGTAATATTTTTGCTGGAATGACGTACATATTACAGTGGAATATGGGATAAAATCATGACGAAAACTATGACTTTCGCTTTCTTTCGTTGTTCAAAAGATTTTACCGTAATCGCTTTTCGAATGGTTTTCAGTTAAAAAACTGTTGTACACGTACTGTATTTCAATAATATTCTATCCTATCATTAGCCTTATAATCCCACAACTGAAAACCATTCGAAAAGCGATTACGGTAACATCTTTTGAACGAAAGAAAGAGAAAGTCATTGCTTTCGTCACAATTTTATCCCACTTTCCACTGTAATACGTACATCATTTCAGCAAAAATATTACATTTCCATGTTCTCAGAAATAAATGGTAGTTTTGTTGGAACGTAATGTACAGTATTTAATATTAAAATGCAAAAATAGCTATAAAAACAATTAATACACCTGTAATGTACTGGCTGGCATCTCCACTCGTCCCTGCTCCCGCCAGTCACCTCCTCCCCGCTCTATCCCTCCGCCTCCTCCCCGCTCTATCCCTACGCCTCCTCCCCGCTCTATCCCTCCGCCTCCTCCCCGCTCCTCGCTCTATCCCCCGCCTCCTCCCGCTCTATCCCTCCGCCTCCTCCTCACATCGTCACTACTGTTGTATTACAATAATATTCTATCCTAATTCACTTGAATAAATACGGCGATACCATATTTCTGAATATTTTCATTAAAATCCATCAAAATCATTTTCCTTGTCATCGTCTTAACACCAAACAGCTCCTCCCAGTCTTCTCCTTGAACAGGGCTAGAGGGTACGTGTTTTTTGAATCATTTTCAATTAAAAAAATGTTACAGCACATGTATATTTTACCTAAACTGTGCCTGAATGAATATATTCTCAGAAATAAATAGTAGTTTTGCTGAAACGTGATGTATTTCAATGTAAAATAGGATAAAATACATGACAAAAACAAAAGACTTTACCTAACCTTCCGATGTTCAAGAGATGTTACTCGTTTTTTTAATAGTTTTCGGTTAAAATACTGTTATATTACAAAGATGTTCTATTCATACTGTGCTTGATATAATGCATTCACGGAAATGTAATATTTTTGCTGAAATGACGTACGTATTACAGTGGAAAGTGGGATAAAATCGTGACGAAAACAATGACTTTTGCTTTTTCGTTCAAAAGATGTTACCGTAATCGCTTTTTGAATAGTTTTCAGTTAAAAAAACTGTTGCATCACAAGTGAATTAGGATAGAATATTATTGTAATACAACAGTTTTTAACTGAAAACCATTCGAAAAGCGATTACGGTAACATCTTTTGAAGGAAAGAAAGCGAAAGTCATTGCTTTCGTCACTTTCCACTGTAATGCGTACGTCATTTCAGCAAAATATTACATTTCCATATTCTCAGAAATTAATAGTAGTTTTGCTGAAACGTAATGCATTTGAATGTAAATTAGGATAAACTACATGAAAACAAAAGACTTTACCTAACCTTCCGATGTTCAAGATATGTTACTCGTTTTTTTAGTAGTTTTCGGTTAAAATACTCTTATATTAGTGATATTCTATTCATACTGGGCTTGATATAATACTTTCACGGAAATGTAATATTTTTGCAACTACAATGCTGATGTCAACACAAGCGTGGTTACAGCGAGACTGACTGAGTGAGGGACAGCTATGCGTGTGTGTGTGTGTGTGTGTGTGTGTGTGTGTGTGTGTGTGTGTGTGTGTGTGGTGTGTGTGTGTGTGTGTGTGTGTGTGCATGTGTGTGTGTGGGATTGCAGGGGTGTCTGTGTTCGGTGCATGTATGTGGATAATACTTCAATTTCTTCAATGTACAGAATATTCTCGGCGGGGCAATCAGCGTATGCTAAACCCACGTATGTTAAGGGCCGACTGTAGTGTTGTACAAAATTTTCAACTGTATTTTTGGGTAGATTTACAGAAATTTCTTCATTCATTTTTACTCATTTACATCTTTTACTGTCCTAAGGGAAAAGCTGTAGTACTGTACATGTACTCAAAACAATGTAATAAATGATTACTAAAAC